CCCCAAAACCCCAAAACCCCAAAACCCCTGAGATTCTAAAAATAATTGAATTTGTAATCAACATGCTATTTTCAAAACATCGCAGGATGACCAATACCCTGAGAGGTCGTCACAGGAGGAACAAATATGGCGATATGTTCCCTAAGTTTTCAGACAAGATCAGGTCTATCGACCCAAAAAGAGGTAATCTTGTTTGGCATCCTTTCTCTTTAATGAATCATTTACCCTCTTGCTTTAGTGACTGAAAGGAATATAGGGACTAAATCAAATTCAGAAGTAAGTTAAAGTAATGTATATTGGCCTTCACACAGAATCTGGAGTTGGAGGTCTGAACACCAGGGAGCTATGCCCCATATTTGCTCTGCTTGTATTTAATCCAGGTCTTGTTCAAGCGATTCTTGGAGTTTATCATCCTTATTCTTAGGTTTGAGAGAAATCTTCCCGTATGCCACCGGAATACAAGGTCAAATAAATTCATTGGGTCGTCACGAACGAAGACAATAGTCAGTAAAATTGAGAGTCAAATCTCTAAATTTCAAGATAAGGCGATTATGAAATCCCTTGAGGGGACTTTCACCCAGGATATTAAACTGATCAGCTCATGTGCTGACAAGTAAGGATTATCTACAACTGTATTTTATAGGTACCACCTGAATGACTTTTCTCCGGATAACTCTCACATTATTGAGTCGATATAGGCAACAAAGCGGCTAGAGAGGAGACTGAAGAAAATTTTTCGATAAATTCTCAACAAAATGCCTTCATTGAGGTTGCTTCTTTCTCTAATGTAGATGGGATCGATCCGGGTAAGCTGGCTTCTAATATTTTCTCACATTCTGTAGTGACTCAGGACAATGATTTCTTCATGGCAAACCCAAGAGAATGAGAGAGCAGAGGCGATCAGAAATTCAAGAATACTTCAGAGGTTCATCACTCTGGTACTAATAAGTCCTCAATCAATAATTCAATCATTGAGCAAAAAAAGTCTTCCTTCAGAAGGAAGATGAGGAAATAAAAAGACTGCTAAGAATGTCACAAGCTATTTTGGTGGCAAGAAAATTCAGCATAATGATCCAAGGAAGATCAATATGGAAAATATTAGGATCAATAGTTTCGATCTCAAGTCAGGTAAACTCCCCTGGTCACTGTATTAGATTTGGTAGGAGCCACATCTGCTACTAGTGCTGTTAAGACACGTCCCATGAGTGCAGATACCTCTCTAAACCTCGTCATGTCGCATGAAAATATGAGGCAAAAGGTCAAATATGGGAAGAAAGTTTCAGATGCTTTCTCCAAGCAAAGAATCAACCAGACTATAGACCATACTTTCAAGAAGAGATATAGAGTATTCTCAGCAAGTCCTCGCAAGAGGTAGAGCATTTTCTTCTAAATTTTAGAGCTCTAAACATGAAATTTCGACCTACAAGCTTTAAACCGCCGACCAAAGCTTCTGAGTTGAAGAGACGTACCAAAAATATCTCTCAAATATAGTCGAGAATCGAGTTAAGAGCGCTCCTGGGCCAAAATTAAAGGTCAGAGTAACCACAGTTCAGAAAGACATCATCAGCAGGGCTGATCAAGTCATCAAGAACGAAATGGTTTGTTCTTACCTAACACTTAGAGGAATGATCTCCAGACCCAAAGGGAGCCACAAAAATAATGTGAAGAAGTAAATTTAGGTACTTACATTAGGAACTTGGTTAGGAACGATACCTTCCACTTGCGGGGCTCATTTTCCATAAGTGGCTGGACTCCGAAGAAATCCAAATCCAGGAAGTTCTCAGATCAGGGGAAGTTGTCAGACAACCAGAAGCCTCAGAAAAGTGTTCATCCTGAGTAAGTCGCTTTGGCTTACTTTTAGGACGAAGATGATGACTGGCCTCAGGAAGAAGAGAAGTTTCATGGTCAAAAGCAAAGAGGAGTACGACCAAACTGAGATTAGTTATTTAACTAAGAAAATCTCCCAGATGGAAGCAAGAATCGAGGAAGACTACAAGCCGAAGTCTGGAGAAGGTAAGCCAGAAACATACCCCTCTTCTAGGCACCAAAATTCTCAAATTCACTGACTGTCCGCTAGACTTGACCCAATGGGTCAAGAACTCATCCACCAGACCAAAACCTTTCCAGCCCAAAATATCCGAATTCCCACTAGAAATGCTGTACAATCCCAAATTCGATGAGCTAGAGAGGTACAGCATTCTACAACTTCGATTTTAGGTATTTCGACATCGAGGAGAAATAATGAAAAAGTCCGCACGCTCAAGATCATCCCAGTCATCGTCATGATAGATGAGCGCTACAGCAGGAACTCCGTACTGGTTCTCTTACCGTTTAGGACCAAAAGAAAGCAGCTAAGATCGATATGAAGCTCTTGGAGGACAATACAGTTCATGAGTATATTTACCCGACAGGGATTCCTTCGAAAAAGGGCTGCGTAGTGATCCCTGATCCTTTACCTTTCGACCAAATTAAGTACGAACAAGGACGGATGAGCAAGAAATTCAACAGGATCAGGAGGGAGCAGAATATTAAAAGGCTTCGATCAACTCAGAATATTCCAAACGTTCAGCCATTAAAAAGCTCACTTGTTTCTCGGAGGTACGCCTTTGCTAAAAAGCTGATACCTTTGGATAGTAGAGGGGTGTCAAGGAAGAAGAACTTAGACTTGTTCATAAATGAAGGTACACCCTTGTTTAATCTCTAGCGAGTATAATGTCTGCAACATTGCCAAGTTATTCAAAAGAGATCCCATACGAGACCACTCTAAAGCACCTTAAGGAGAACAGGCATGAGCATGTCCTTACTTATTTAGATGATTCATTGTCCCAGACAGCTTAGCCCCAGAACGGTATAAATAAGATATCCAAGGATATGCAGAAGATACAGCAGAAGATAGCAGAATCTGAAGAACTTCCTGACAAAATGGCCAATCAGGAGTTCATCGATAAGTACGAGTTCAAGGTCATCCAGCCTAATATTGATCACATTTATTTCCAGCCTCGTAAGCGTAAGAAGCCATGCTTCACCTTTGCGAAGGAGAAACGGAAGAGGAGGACTTGTCTAAAAAGAGTAGAGAACCGGACTCTAGACTCTCTCATGAATATCATTAACTTTAAGGCTGAACAAAAGGATAGTAGGTGTTCGTGACTTATTTTTACAGAGAATTTGAAGAAGGGACATGTTCACTATAAAGACAAACTTCTGAAGATCAAAGAAGAACTTGGGGCCTAAAGTACTTGAAATCAGCTAAATACAAGCTTATGAGTCATCAGTGCATGTTTTAATCTGTTTTCAGACTCTTTTAGATTTTCAAGATTTAATTTCAAAAATGGGGTTTTGGGGTTTTGGGGTTTTGGGGTTTTGGGG